GACAGGAAGTGTGAGGTCTCTTTTAATAAAACAATAATCAATACATGTGTACCGTATTCTTCTTCATGGAAAAATAAGATATCCCCTGAAAATAAGACCTAGCGCATCTTTGGGAGCAAAAATGAATATAAGACACTGTCTTATTTTCGGGGAAACAGGGTATCACCACCACCAGCATCATTCTCACGGGGGAGGGGGCAGAGAACGTGGTAACAGACCACCCGTCACCTCCAAGAAAAGCTGAGTCCCTCGACACTTCCCTCTCCCTCGCCAGGTGAACTTGGGGATGTCATTACACCTGGCTTGTTGCACGAAAATGGGGGCAGCAATAGCCCCCCCCTCGTGTCCTTGTGGGGACTGGAGGTAATAGCTGGGTAGTGCTTATTATAGAGCCCGGCACATGGTAGGTGTCTAGGCATTTAGTGGGTGGTAGCTAAGTTCATTCCCTAACAGAGTTGAATCAGAACAGGCCCTCCTAGTACATGTGCTTCATGGCCAGATTTTAGGGATGGTGGAAATTCCTTGGGAATTGGAATCAAATGGCTTGGCAGCTACTTTGGTTGACTTCTTCCAGGATGATTCCATCTGACTGTAGTCCCTGTTTGGGTGTCTAAGAAAGAACACTGGCGGTGTCATGGTGACAAATTGGGCTACTAACCACAAGATCAGCAGTTCAAAATCACCAGCTGCTCTAGGGGAGAAAGATGAGGCTTTCTGATCCCCTAAAGAGTTATAGAATCAGAAACCCACAGGAGAAGTTCTAACTTGTCCTATAGGGTCACTGTGAATCAGAATCAATTCTATGGAAGTAAATTTTTTTTAAAAATCAGAGGTGCCTAACTACTTACTACATTGTTGCTGAAGGCCCAAGAGTTCTATTACCTCAGTGGGCTAGGTCTTGGACTGCTAGCCATTAGGTCAGGGTTCAAATCCACCAGTTGCTCCGCAGGAGAAAGATGAGGCTTTCTGCTCCCATAAAGCTCTATACTCTTGGAAACCCTATATAGAGTCTTCTTGAGTTGGAACTGACTCGGCGGCAGTGGATTTATTATATGCCTGGCCTGTTCTAGGCACTCAGATACAAGCATTGACAGCTGAAAACCTTAAGTTCTAGACTCAAGTCCGGAGCTTTCTAGATCTTTGACAACAGGCAAGTCACTTGCCCCTCTTTGGTTCTCGATATTTTCCTCTGTAAAATGAGAAGACTCAGCTTGAATCATAGGGTCTTTGGGGGAGAAAAAAACAGAACAATAGCAACAAAAAAAATCACTGATATCTGGCCCCCACCAATTTCAGAATGCATTTAACTTCACGCTGATAGGCCTTCTGAAGCATGGGGTTTGGAATCATATGGCCCTGGGACTGAATTATGTCTCCATCACTTACTGTCTAACCTTGAGTAAGGGACTTAAATTGAGTGTCAGTTTCTTCTTCTATCCAGGGGATGATGATGTTACCCTTATAAGATCATGGTGAGGATTCCAGATGATGCATATAAAGTGCTTAGCAGAATGACTGGCAGCCCAGAGGGGGCAGTTCTACCCTGTCCGATAGGGTCTCTGCAAATCGACTGATTCTCAATAAATGGTAAATGCCACCATCGTCATCACTAGTATCACCACTGCCATCGTCATCACCATCACAACCCTCATAATCATCACCACCATCATTGTCACTATAATGATGATCAACATCCCCACAGAACATCATCGACCATTGCTCCCATTATCACCATTGACATCCAGCCATCATGATCATCGTCTTCACCACCACCACCATCTATGAAGTCAAAGGCTTAAATGGTCTCTAAGATTCTGACCTCCTAAGTCAGAGCTTTTAAGGGAGGAATTGAGTAGATAATTTAGTTGCTTTGGGTGGGGACACAGGAAAAGACAGGGCTTCCTACTCCCATACACACAGTCTCAGAAACCCACAGGGACAGTTCTGTCCAATAGCGTTGCTGAGAGCCAGTATTAGACTCTATATAAATGAATTTGGGTGGGGACATGTTAAGCTACGGATTTCTATTTTAGATAAGAGCAGGTTGCCCTTCACTTGACAGAGAAGCTAGAAAAGATCTTGGCCTCTTTGATATTTCCTGCCCAAGATAGTGCACAAGAATAGGACACTTGGGGTCTGTAGCACCGGACACACCGGCAAACACTTCCTCTCTGTAGGTCTCTGCTTTGCATGACTTGATTTCCAGGCCCGAGATTTTGTTTCAGGAAGCCAGCCTGGATCTTTCAGCGATCCATTGCAGGTTCAGCTGCCTGATTTAGACCTCCTAAAAAAATGTCCCAACTCCATCCCACTCAAGCCACATGCTGGAAGGCGAGGTTGGCACATGCCACCGTGGGTTGGCTACCGGCTCCTGTATTCCTCTGTCAAAGCATTTAGCTTGTGGGACAGTTTATGGCTCATCGAGTATCGTAGCCCATGACTTGGTCGTTGGTAAATTTGCTTCTTAAGCCCATTCTTCCTGCCTTTTAGGAAAACAAGATTGCCATACCTGCATTTCCCCGATGGGATTTATAGGTATGACTCTCCCACATTGGTCTGGGCGCAGGTGGACCTGGTTTCTTGTCAAATGATGCTTCGACTCACCTTCCCCTTAGACTTCAGCTCGGTGAGCACCATTTTCCCCCGCTCTGAATTCCCATGCACCAGAGGCACAGGTCAGAAACCTGCAGCAGGGAGAGTAAGGGCAGATTGATTTTTCAGGGTGGGGTGGGGCAGAGGGTGGGGGGAGAGCCACATTTGGAGCCCCACACTTTGGGGTCAAACTCCTGTCAGAGAACCCGGCTGGGCTGGTGCGTGCAAGAGGGGCCACTGACAACATCTTGGTTTCACAAGTGAGCCTCCAGCTTAGAACACACGTGTGGTAGGTAGACAGTCACTCACCATGTGATGTTGCTAAGTGCTGCCGTCCCCCACCCCCCACCCCCCACCTCTCTGGACCCTCAGCGTTTTGGCTTTAACCAGCCAATAACTTAACCTCTCTTTCCCCAGGGTTCACCTCCCGCCCAGCCCCTCCTCTGCATCCGCATTTCAGCGCTGTCCGCGGTGCTGACCGCCCATCCTCTGACAGCGAGCCCTTCCAACCAGCTGCTCTTTCTAGTGCACCCAGCCTCCCGAGGCCGGCCTCCCACCTCGCGTTCTCACACAGAAGCCACGGGTGGGAGGCAGGCTCGGTTCCCCTGCGCCGGGAAGCTGCTGCTCCCCCTCCTTGTGCACGCTGGGGTTTGCAGCAGTGGCGGCAGCCGGCACCGCCGATTAGGACACTGGGGGAGCAATTGATTCGTCTGCTGCCAGCAACCCGGAGTTGCCTCTGCGGACGGCAGAGAGAGAGAGAGAGAGAGCGAGAGAGCGCACAAGCGAGCGAGCAAGCGACACAGAGGCTCAGGGAGCAGCAGCCTCCATCCATGTGGGGGGCAGTCTGCGGGAGCCACTGCCTGCCTTGCCTACGGACTGCTCAGAGTTTTCTCCGCTGGCAGTGGTATTTCTCCTTGTCTTAGTCTTGCACGAATAGGGATAGATGGTGTGTGTGTGTACTCGGGTGTGCATGAGCGTGTGCGTGTGCGCGCCAGCATGCACCCGTGCTGGTGCCTTGGTTTTATTTTGGGAAGAGTCGGAGAGTTAAATGAACAATTCTCTTCCAGGCACCTCCGCTGAGCTCGCAAACAAAGTCATCGTTCCCATCCGGCAGGCAAGGGAGGAGTTGGCACTGATTCGGCTCACTGGTTCCCTCCACAACCCTCGGGTGTCTCGGTAAGTGTTGTTCTCTCAGAGGTGCAAACGGGATTGGGGGGTCTCCGGGTCCCAGTCCTAGTCCCGGGGAAGTGGGTGCATGAGCTGGTGGGGTCCAGGGTGCCCAGGAGAGGACCAGAGTGGAGGGGAAGACCCACGTTTATTGGCCTCAACTCTGCAGTCTTTTCTTGCGGGAGCAGCACCCCAAAGCCAAATGAGATTCCGGTTCCATGGCCAAAATCCAAACCCCAGCCAGAGAGTGGAATGGGCTAAGACTTGAGGCACTGCCATCAGGGTTGGGGCTCTGGCCCAGCTTGCCCTCTCAGCTGCCACAGAAGCCTTTGAAAGTAGCCAGGCAGGTCTCCGAGTGAATTAACCCTTCGTGGCATGGGCCGGACTGGCAGGGAGAATCTCTGAGTGTTCTGATCTCCAGGTGGAGGCCCGTTGGCCCTGGACAGCAGAGGGTGACCTGAGGCTGGAGGGTTAACCCTTGCCTGAGCACACAGGGGGAAGCTAGGAAGACACAGAATCGGTTTGTGTTATCTCCAAGAGAGAGCAGAGGAATTTCATTGTGCTGGTTCTCAGGAGGCTGGCTGTGCCAGCTGCCCCGAGGCCCAGGAAAGGACCCTAATTTGCCTGTGACCACACAGGTCAGCTGCTTGCCGAGCAGGTCATGGTTCATTTTCACAGGTGTTGTCACCCGGAAGTGTGTGTCTGGGTGGGGGGACGAGGCATCAGCCTGAGCAGTCCCTCCTGGAGCCTGTCTCCCGGGTAGGGAAGGAGGGGAACAGGGTTGATGCCAGCTCTGGGCAGCAGCGTCCAAGCTGTCCAGGGCAGACATCACCCTGCATTCCTTTCTTTTTCTGACGGAGCTCCTGGTGGGGGCGAGCCTGTGCCAACCTGTTAGTGAGTGGGAAGTGGAGGTCCCTTTGAAACGGAATCCGCAAGCTCGCTACGTCATTTTTCAAGTGTCTTTGCCGATCTTCTGAGACTCATCAAAAGGGGGGTTTCTCGCTGCTTTCTCGCATTGAGGGCTCCCACCTTTCCAGGAAATGGGTGTTCTTATTTTTAACAGCTGCGAGGCGATCTCTGAGGCCACTTCAGCCTCCTGCACACCCACCCCAACGATTGCCACTTTAGATTCCTGTTCTTGCAGGTGGGAGGAAGTCTCAAGAGCAGCCCCAGGGACAGGCAGGGCAGGATGTAAGCAGGGCCCACGCTGCATGCTCTCCAGCCCTGGGGCCAAATGGGGACTGCCGGGATCCTGGGGCAGGAAGGACTTGCAAGGCACAGGAGAAGACTGCTCAATGGTTAGTGCCCAGGAGTTAGCCAAAGAACTGCCTGCTCTCTCTTCCTGGTCTCCCCGGTTGGATGACCTTGAGGAGGAGGGTAGACGGTGAGTGTCCGGAAATGAGGGTTCCAATGAGAAGTCACAGATTTAGCGGGGGGTGGGGACAGACAAAACCTTCCACCTTGGTCCTAACTGATCAGACTGGGTCCGGTAGGTGGTTCCCTGCTGTGCTGAGCACCCTTGAGTTTCTGGATTTGGGGGAATGTTTGTGGGGTGCCTGGGAGAGACCAGGGGAGCCACGGGGGCGGGGGGCTCCGGGGCAGCACGGCCATCTGGTACAGGAGTCTTTTATTCTCCACAACGGGCTGTCCAGATATGGGTGCTTCTCCGGCATTGCCTGCTGCCTCCCAGCCCGACTTCCTTGGGGGGTGGCTAAGATCCAAGAGGCTGCCCTCCCTCCTCCCCCGTCACATTGGAAGTGGCGCATTGTGGTGCACCAGGGAGGGGGAAGCAGAAGCCTCGGGAAGGAGCCCTGCACTTGAACCAGGAAGCCCAGGCTCCCACCTCAGCCCTGCCTCTCCTTTCGGAGCCCCAGCATCCTCACCTGCGCAACAAGGTGGTTGCCCTAGGTGACCCCCGGAGCCCCTTCCAGCCAGGGTCCCATAGCTCTGCGATAGGGGATGTGTACGCACCTATATGTTCATGCTCCTTGGGAAGGGGACAGGTCAGGTGTGTTGGGTGGGGGAGCCCCTGTTGGGGCAAATCAGGGTGGAGGTCTCTATGAGAACTTTACTCTGTTTCTTGAATCTTGTACTAGGCTACCCTGGCACCTGCGTGGTCTCTCGTGTCCACAGGGACACATACAGATGGTGTTTGACTGCCAGGTCTGTAGATGCCGCCCTCAGAAGATGGCAAGTCCCTTTGAGACCCTCTCTCTGAGACCCTCTCTTAAAGCTTACAGGGTACCCAGCTTCAAAAACTGACCTAGACTCACCTCGCAGTGTATAGTTCACCCAAATTCACACAGAGCAAAGAAGCACCCACCATCCTGACTTCCAACCTAGCTAAGGAGAGGCACCCATGGCCAGCCAGCACCACCTCTCCAGTCATGCTTGCAATGAGTGGCCAGGGGTTCTGGAATTCCAGAATGGTGGCCTGAAAAGCCAATCCCCTCACCTGCCTGGTCAGAGGACGTGTGTCTGGCCAGGGTGGCAGCTCTGGGGTTGGCTTGTATGATGTTCTATTTATTCTTTCTTCAACCCTCTTTGTCTTCCCATGAAGGAGCCCTGGCAGCATAGTGGGTTGCACTTTGGGCTGCTAACCACAAGGTCAGCAGTTTGAAACCACTGGCTGCTTCAAGGGGGGAAATATGAGGCTTTCTATTCCTATAATGCATTGCAGTCATGGAAACTCACAAGAGGCTGTTCTACCCTGTCTTGCAGAGTTGTTATGAGTCGGGATCGACTTGCTGGCAGTGGGTTTGGGTTAGATCTTCTGGTGTGGGCAAAGGTCAAGCTTGTGACTTGCTTATAAAAACCACTGTGACACGTGGCCCTGCCTTCGGCTCTTTATCCTCTTCCAGTGGGGAGCTGGTCGCACACACAGACAAGTTAAGAGTGGGCTTGAAGGTGAGGAGACGTACAGGGTGTGGCTTTCCTGCTGAGAGCTGTGCTTGTACCTTGGGGTGGCTGTCACCCAGGGGTGACGGACTGGGGCTGGGCATTTAAATTCTTCAGCTGCCACGCATGATGATGAGCTCAATGTGCTGGGAGACTGAAGGGAGACCCGGCTGACTTCTCCCTACACTGTGAGCCTCCAGCATCTGCAGTGCTGGGCTCTGGGAGCAGCCAGACCTGAGGTCCAATTCTGACTTCACCACTCCCCTGCTTTGTGACTCCAGGCCGGTTCCTGAACTCTTCCGAGCCTCAGTCCTCTCCGTGATGGGCACAGGGTGGTTAGGAGTGGAAAGCACGGGCCCTGGACGAAGATGAGCATTTCCTTGCTGTGTGCTTTTGACCTCGCTGTGCCTCGGCTTCCTGTCTGTAAAGCGGGGATCACTGTGGAGCTGTCTTCAGATTGCTAAGGGTTAAATGCTTTACAGAGTGCTCCGTGGGGCAAGCCTGGCACAGGGTGAGTGTGCCATGAATGTCAGCCGTGGGGTGGAAGTGGGTAATGCAGAAAAGGTGGGGGTGAGGCGAGGGATGGTGTGGATCCCACGAGGCAGCGGGGGGACCCAGGAGATGGAAGATGAGGCTTAGAGAGAACTTCCGGTCCCACTTATTCCTGCCGGGGTGCTCCGGCAGATGCTGGTGCTCTCCGCCCCTGTCTCATCATCCCTGAAGTGGGCATCATGACCCCCTTACCCCAAGTCATGGGAGGCTCAGGGCAGGTGACCAGGGGGATGGTGGAGTGAAGCCCCCAGAGGAAAGAGTCCAGAAAGAGACACCCTCCATGCTACTCAGAGTCTCTAGCCCCTCCCGGCCCCGGGGAGGTTTGTGCTGAATCATCCCAGCCCACGAGCCCATGGATTTTCTCCAGGAAACCCAAGCTCCCCCTCCCTTCCTTGAGACTTGGACTCTCGTACAGGCCCTCCTGGTGCTACAGACAGCCCCAAGGGACCACGGCCGCACCCGCTTCCTCTGTGGAAGCAGATGCTCAAAGAGTGCTTGCTGAATAAATGAACGAGACCTCAACTGATGGATGAGTAGACGCGTCAGTGTGGGTCGATATCTTTGGCCAGGACTGGGCAGCGGGGGTGGTGGGGTATTGTTGCTTAGTCAGCACCGGTTGAGTCTGATGAGTCATTGGTGATGGGTTACGCAGGGCTCAGCTTCCAATCAGGCCTGCTTCAGTCAAAGGCCAGGCCTCACCTCCTGCTACTCACTTGGGCTCTGGGCATGTCATGAGCTTCTGCAGTGTGTGTGCGGCCAAGGTGGGCATGGGAGTCAAATTGTGATCAAAATGCACCCTCTTTGGAGCTTAGATAAATTAAGTGGCCACCTACCCAATGTGTTTGTTTGTTTGTTTGTTTGTTTGTTTGTTTGTGGGACAGGGAGGCACCCTAAAAGCTCCCATTGTCCAAGCTCTCTGCCAGCTGAAATTCCACCATTAAAGTCCCATGATGTATCCTAAGGCTTTGCTTTTGGGGTAGGGGGGGGGATGCTTTGGTATGGGATAATCTAGCCTTATTTGTCATTTCTGCTTTAATGAGCATGAGTTGTAAGATCCCTTTGTAAAAACGAGGTGGATCTTTTCTTTGCAGTGGGGTGGTGGTTAATTGGGGGTGGGGGTGGCACAGGGTTGTCTGTGTGTAGGAAGAGTGGAGTTCACACAGATGGCAGCTTCCGTATGGATTACAACTCTCTGAAAGAAATCACAATCCTCACAATGGGACCCATAGACAAGATCCTGATCAGTGGAGACATGGCGACAGTTAGGAAGCCTGTCATCTTGCTCAGATCCGTCCTCCCTGCTCATGGCAGCAGTGGTCAAGAGATCACAGGACACATTGCACGGGGCAGATCTGAGCACCGAAGAGCAAGGATGTCCCTGAGAGACTGAGCACCTGAAAGCCGGACGTTGAAGAAGGAAGACGGGAGAAGAATCGATGTATTTGAATAATGGCGTTGGCCAAGAATATCGAAGGTGCTGTGGGTTACCAGAGCAACAAACAAATCTGTCTTGGAAGAAGTAGAGCCAGAAGGTGCCTTAGAAGTGAGATGCCAAGACT